ACTATGTTCTATTATTTTTTTGATGTATATATATATATTATATATATTATTACTTTTGCTAGGAATTTATAGGAGCTTGTTTGTTTTCTAATATTAATTAAAAACATACCTTAGTGATAAAAAAATCAGTTTCATATTACCAGAAGTCAAGAGTAATATTTTTTTTAAATTTTTCGTATATTGTACATATTATATTAGAATTTAAATTTTCTTTAAATTAATTAAAAATAAAAACTGAATGTAGGTGTACCTAAAAGAATATTCAAAGATGTGGGTTATGTTTTTCACGTTTGTGGTACCATTTATATAGTTGAAATTATGGATAAAATAAAATTAGATTAACCACAGACATGCTTTTATGGATTTTAATCAGTATCATACAATGGTATACATTAATACAACTATTAATTTGGGTAATAATTTGTATTTATAAAATTAAAAGAATATTAATAAGTAGAATTTTTGAAGCCATACAACTTACATTAATACATATTTTTTAAAACAAATACTTTTTTTTCAGTTAGGAGTAAAATTGATTAACAGGAAATAAGTAAGTATACAACAAATACAATTTGATTAATTTATCCTATTAAGTATTCTTGTGGTGAGGTTAATGAGTTCCTCGTTAACAAACTTTAAATTATAAAAACATTTTTTTTTTTGTGTACCAGACATTAAAACGATATTAAACGCTCTAATTTCAGGTGAGTCAACAACTTGCTTACTATCAATTTATTTGACTTATATAATATTACAAATTGCTTATATAGAGATCTGAAATGAAGTTAATTGAGCTATAAAAATTTTTTGGGAGGAACCTATAAAATCTTTTTTATTTAGACATTTTTGTACCAATAGATTTTGTTGAACTTCTAAAGGTTTCAAACCGAATTAGTTTTACGTTCAACTCTCACAATGCCCAAATGGCTACATCCATTTGTCCCTATTAGTTTTCTCTTATGCAAAGCGTAACTTAGATTCCCATGGCATAATATTGAAAGAGTGCAAATACCTACTGAAAGGTTGACAAATTATTATATGTGGAAACTGACAACTGTATCTATTTAGGAATGAATGTGAATGATTATCTTATACCTTTAACTATATTTCAAACTATTTAATCGAATTATGTTCCTATTTAACTTTTAGAGAATACCTAATTCATAAAGTAGGTGCCACACGGAGTCAGTGGTGAATTGATCAAAGGTACTTTAAGTATTATGCAATGTATGTGTAGCTCTAATCTGAATCAATTATAGATTTCCAATATTTTAATAATAATAAGTGAATGGTTTAAAATTTATGTTATTATGACTTGTAAGAAAAGTTACGGAGAAGAATAAAATGTTAAATAATTAATTAATTATGATATGAAAATAACAATACGTAATTATACTTATTTTATGATTATATTATAAAATTTTATAAACCAGTTTTTTTTATTGATTTTTCTACAGGTACAATTGTTAAACATTTACTTTCACTTTCTATTATCAGTTATTAACTTTCCAAATTCAATAATTTAAACATTTGTGATGTTGAACATATTGATAAACTTTTCTGTTTTATCTGCATTTCAAATTTTTCAAAGACCTAAATCATGTTTACAAAATGTCGATGCATCTTACAAAGATTTGCTTAAAAGTTGTGTTGCTTATTTGAAAAATATGTAAGATAAGTTTTAATTTGAATGTAGTTAAATAGAATATTTGTTAAATAAGTAATTCAATTTAAGGATTACCTTTCATAATCTCAATAAATATTCAATTTTCCAATCTGAAAAAATTTTAAACCTGTAAATGAACATTTAGCTGACAATTCATTTGTAAATAATCAGTGCAACACAAGTTTTGTACAAAAATTGTTTCAGTTTCTAGTCTCAGCTATAATACAAATAATGTACATTCATTTCTAATAATTAAAAAAAAAAAAGATTTACCATTTAACATTCAAATGTTGAGTCAGGTTTTATTTTGATATTTCAAGAAGGGTGAATGTTTCAATTAAGAAATATTTCAAAGAGAAAGTTTCATATGAAATATGTTGTGATGATTCATAACCATAGTTATCTTTGAATCTCAAAACATAAATGATAAAAAATAAGGTAAGCAAAGTAATAGATTAGAATTCAATGATAAATTGCATAAGAAAAACGATTTGGAGCAGAGACCCTGTATGATCTTTAGCACAAGCTCGCAAAAATGTTATGATACTGTCGGGTGAATTCATATTTCTAATGAAAGTGGGAGAACTTATTGGAAATTTTCTATTAACATTTTTAATGTTAACAATAAAAATTTAATTTTTGATTTATTTCTAACTGAATATTAACTTGAATATTTTTCATGGGGTTGCCATGGTAACATAATTATAAAAGGATTTCAGAGTATCATTATTAAAATTAAGATCACAGGAAAATTGATACAGAAAGAAAAAATAAATTGTAAGCTGATATCCACCTTCATTGTCAGTTGGTATAGAAAGTTAAATTGAATTTTTTGTTATACATATTTTTTGTGTTTCAAAGACAAGACATAATAATATGTCATTTTTTTGAATAACACAAAATACCTAAACATTCATTGTAACATTTTAATAATCATAAAAATGTCAACATTTTAATTATAATAATAATTATTTATATAATTTACATAAACATACTTAAGTCCGAAAACTCTAAAAACAATATTTAAAAAAGCATTTATTATTTATCGAATAAATTTACTCCAAAACATTTTGAAAAAATTAACCAGGTACTTGACATAAATCAACGTTTTAGAGACTGATATTATGATCTAAGGGACCAAGTACTAAATATTTGAAATAATATTCATTATTATTATTATAATTGTTATTGACTGTGATTAGAATAAAATAAAATGTGTATTTCTACCGTCCACCAAGCAGGTTGGTATAATAATCAAATAAAAAGTCCAAACATTAAACTATTGATTAAAAATTAACCAGTATAAACTTGTTTATTTAACAATAATAAATAATTAACTACTACAAGGAGTTAAAAAAACTAATAAGCCAACAATCAAATGTGAAGTACATACAATGTAAATATTACAAATGCAACATTACATGATAAAAAATAAAAAAATATATGTATTTCAACCGAACTAATATTTTTAATTGATTTTAGTAAAATAGTTCATAAACATAAAAACAAGTACTGCTAAAAAACAGTGAAAGAAGTATTGATGTACCAACAATCATTATACTAGCTTTTTACTTAACGACATTAAATATATACAAAAATAAGTAATCTTAATCAATAGTCGTAGCTGCATAACATGACACCTTACTTACAAAAATCACTTTTATAATTATTGTAAAAAAAATATTGTTGATTTGTGCTATTATTAAATATTAATATGAAACTGAAATATTATCCTTCCAAAATATATTTGAATTAAAATGTATTGTTATTGTATAAAAAACTATAAATCATTTACAAATAAGTGTTAACTAATATGAAATAAAAAAAGACATTTTTCAAAAAAGCTTGATCTATAGATTTTCAAGTATTTTAAAAGAATTTCTAACCCGACTGTCATGTCTCACGTATTTTGCTAAGTAGGAATGGGGTTGTGTATCGTTTACACCTAATGATTTTACAAGTCTTATCACTGCTATCTGATTGCACACTTTGAATGTCCTTGTTCATACCAAAATAAGCAGGCATAGGTACTAATTAGCAAGTGGCAATGGTGTTATAATAAATATCTTAATTAGTAAAACTATCATCTATTCAGTAATCACAAGGCAACCTAATAATCGCTCACTAGAACCATAAATCTATGATGTTCCCCCCACAAACGGCAAAATCACACCAAAAATTAAAAGTAAAAATCTCAAACAATACACAAACGCAATAAATTAAAGTACATTATTTTAAATAAACAAATCAATATATTTTTTTTTAACTGTATTAATACTCAAAATCAAATATAAATTGTATATATTATATTACTTACATTATTTTTTTTATTTTAGGAGGATGGTTCACTGATTGAAACACCAGGATCTCGAAAAAAAAGCCAGTCTAGAAAACATTGAAATACGGATAATCATAGTAATAACTCATTATTTTACATTGACATCAAATGTGACACAAATAAATAATAATTAGAAGAAATACCAGCAATAACAAGACATCTTGCAGAAATCACTTATAATTATTATGAAAAAAATTATAAATAAGTAGATTTGTGCTACTATTAAATACTAATGATGATACTGAAATATTATCCTCAAAAAATATATTTTATTTGAAAATGCATTTTATTGCTGTCACGTCTTTGTGTTACAATAAAATAATAGAAAAAATTATTTAAATTATAATTAAAAATTACAATAGAAATATAACTTAAGTTTTACAATATTGTAGTAAAATTAATTGATTATGAGTAGACTTATATCATTTATAAATGCATAGAGAATGAAAATAATGCAAAAAAAAGTAAACATATTAAAATAATCTGAAAAATTAGTCCACATTGTACAATAATGAGATGGATCATTTTCAAATGATACGACTTAAAACAGTTAAAAATTAAAAGCATGCAAATCAAGAATTCAACTTTAATATGACACTCAAACTTGTGTAATTTCAATGAGGGAGAATCCGTAAATGCCATTGGACAGTGTAAACATTTTATAGGATTGATGTTAGGATGAAAAGTTTTAATATAACGAAGCAAGTTACATTTTGTTATGACAATACTACACCAATTGCATTCGACGGTTTTTGAATTTAGCTTTCGATTGGAGAGTTGAGTACTAGAATGATGCTGTCTATTATGTTGAGCCAGAGATAGTTTTAACTGGCAATATTTATTTCAGTACAACCAATTTTCATTTTGCGAGATATTTTGTTTCTCACTTTTGTCATAAGTGATCTTCATTGTTTTCATTTGTTTGTTTAAACTGTTTGATTTACGTTTTACAGATCCTATAACTTTTTTTGCTTTTGAAATGAATTATTAAAAATACCATTTGACATTATAACATAAGTGTGTGATAGTAAGTGTTTCCCAATGCTTTTCTTGAATACAAAAGTTCTATGACACGTATTACACATTATTTGTTGATAGAGTTGCTTGTAATGAATATTTAATTCTCCGTGTGAAGTGAAATCTATATTGTAATCTTAACAATTATGACTTCTGTTGAGTTTTCCAATATTTGGAAATACATGTTCTTCAGGCTGTCCACTATCTTCGTTTTGATTTTTCACTTCGTTCTTGTCTAATGTTAGTTGTCTCTTTGACATTATTTTGTTTTTGTCAGTATGATATTCCAAATTAGTTTTGAATGATGTAATACACAAATTACATTGATGTCACTTGAAACTGCTCTTTGAAAAGTAAAAATATCATGATTAATGGATTTAGTTTCAGAAGAAGTCTGCGTTTCTGAAAGACGGACAGATTAATTTCTCATGCATGAATATCTATTACGTTTATTCCGATGTTCATTCAAATGTGCCATAAGAATAAAGCATGCATCGCAAACATTACATACATAAGGTTTACTAGCATATATTAAATTTTTATGGACTTTATTCCCATATTTTACAAATATGTTGTCCGTCATAATTGTCTATGTAGTTTGAAAATACAGCACCTTCAGGTATAGATCTAATTCTAGTCTCTTGCTCAGTTTTTACCTTGACTTCATCAGTAGCTTCAACATTAATCCCAAATTCCAACTCTGAAGATTGCCACGAAGTATGTTCTATTGTAGTTCTAAGTTACATAAAAAAATAAAACAAGATAAGATAACAAGGTAAATATATAAACAATCAGATATTCAATACATTTAAATATATTGTGAACATACACTATATGACATTAGCCATATTATCCAGCCCATGAAACAGTATAAAAATATACTTTTTTAGATTCTGAGTGGAGCCATGAATGTATTGATTTTACAATGATTTAGTTTTTTTTATTTATTTTTTATTTCATTTTTGAATCTGTCATTTGGGCCTTGGGGCAGTAAGTGCTTCAATTTTCTCCAACAGCAACATTTCTCAAGGAGATCTAGTGAATCTAGTTGGTCCATTCAGGTCAAAATTTAAAATTCCCAATGGTTTTCAAAAGTGACAGGAAAAACAAAAAAAAATATTAAGGAAAAGGTGAAGTTTTACGAGAAACAAGTTATAGAAAAAATTAATTTTGGTTTTCTTTGAAACTCTAAAAATATACTATAGGTACATGACATTTTCACTGATTGTTAGTGTTAGCATTTTCTATACAGTTTTTAAGAGTTTTGATTTATGTTGAACTATTTATAGGCATATGAAATTTTTGATTATTATTAGTTTTTTTTTCGATTAATGTCTATAAACAAATGTTCGATATGCAAAAAAACTTGAAAATATAATACAAGCTTCTTCATAAGTTGTTGTTAGTGGAAACAAAAAACAAATTGGGCGTAAGTCCACAATATAGTTCAAATTTCCACAAAATATGTAAAAATTGAGAAAATTTGCAAATTATTTTAAGTTAGAAATTAATAAAAAAAAATTTTTTTCATATCTAAAATTTTATAATTGAATTCAAGATTCCTTAAAAGTTTGTCTAGCTTTATCGAAAACAAATATTCTACTGGAAATTTGATTATTTTGTTAGATTTCAACATTATTTTTATTTTTAATTTATAAGCTACAATTACAGTATGGTGGTTGGAACATCAAAATAATGAGTTCCTAATCAGTAAGTACCTAATTTTTTTTAACAGCAACAATATCATGAAATATACATAGTAATATAAGCAGACAAACCTTCTTCGCACAGCAATATTTTTTGAAAAAAAATGTTATATAATTTAAATCAAATTTAACACGTCTATTACAGTGACTCTGATTAACATTGGTTTGGTGTAGATTAAAGGCAGATGCAAATAGATCAAATTGTTTAGGGGGATTAAAATACCTTGGAATAGAGAAAAAAGGACCCCCTACCAGTGTTGTAAGACACATAAAACTAAAGACTGTATAAGTACAAAAATTATATTACAAAATTAACATACTCGTGTCTCTCAATACTAGTTTCTTCTAGATATTCTTGATGTATTGTTAAGGTAAGAGTATTCAACTTCTTCGATAAGTGTACAGCATTCTTTACTTTGTATTTTCTAAATAAACATAAAAATAAAATAAAGTTTTAAAATTACACATAAGCAGGTGTATGCTATTATGATATTATATTTTTGAAAGTAGTACTGACCTGGAAGTATACTGTTCTTTTTCTTCTTCGGTTAATCATTTATGTATCATATTCATAGACATTTTGAAGTATGACTGAAAATTGATGTTAATAGTAATTAGTAGGTATTTACTGTAAGATTGGGTAGCTTGATTACTAAATGGCACAAGCAATTGTGTTACAAATAATGAAATCGCTGTCATTAAATTACTATGTACATAGATAAATAGCCTAATCAATGAAAATCTCTAAAAAAAATAAATAAACAATGAACATAAAGCCATAATAATAAAGGCAATTAATACTACCGAGAAACATTAAAAAATTAAATAAGCTGGTTTAAGTTATGGTTTAGTTTTTAAAAACTTAATATTATATTGAATTTAATATTGTATTATTGAATATTTGAATAATGCTATTAGTAATACATATTGAACATTTAAACATAGTCATTATTCTTACTTCTTAATCGTTGCGTTTGTCAAGTTGCAGACTATGGCAATTCGTATTTCTGTTGTAATGTGATTTGTGAACGGTCGGCGGTGTAGGACGTGAAATGATATGTTAAAACACCAAGCTTAAATTCAACTACAGTCAATGGCACATGATATAATAGAGCTTAATCCATTGTGTTGTGGAATTAGTGGATGCACAGGCGGAATAAATTCCGTTGCTCTCGGCAGGCACGTCTTTGGTCTTTTGCAACAACCAAAACTGATTTCATCGTCCGAAGGAAAAATAATAGGGCTCAGTGAATAAACAAAAAACAAATTAGGATTCTTAACACACAAATGAATGTAATTGATTGGGATTTAGAGAAGCGTACACCTGTCATGTACGTACAATCGCGGCGATAATCGAACGACGGCCGCTAGGAGGGTTCGAGCGCGGCAGTACAAAAGAATGGAACGTGCCACAGGCAAAGAACATGAAAAATATTCAAAAAAATTCTCAGCAATCGTATACAACGTAATATTAAAACGATTAGAATAATAAAATAAATAGTCCGAATTAAAGTTACGCGCCAGACTGCATGTAATTCGTAAAAACTGTTTTTAATTTTTTATCACTATAGTACGGCCAGCGAAAAGTGAGCCACGATCCAATGCTTTGGGTAGCCGAACTTCATCAGGGGCATTCAGGGCTACCACGACTCACCGCCATTAACGTAACGATCACGGCTCACTTTTTGCTGGCCGTACCTATTGTAGAAAAGAACGCTACTCTGTATCATGGAACAAAACTATCTAATCGTTCGGCTTGGAATAACTGTGAAATTATTAATCGGGCCCGCTGAATTAAAACACATATTTGAATCAAAATTTTTTTTTGTTCAATTTCGTATTATATTATTCTTGATCTTGAGTAATTAGTAAAATAGATCAGTAATGATAGTTGTTTTACGTTTTGATGGCTATTGATAAAAAAAAATATGAGATAACAATGTCTGACTTAAGCCGTGTCCAGACCAAGAAACAAAACAAAAAACATTGTTGTCGACAAAATATGATAAAAAGTTACCGACAAAGTTACTGACAAAAATTAAAAACATTCGCGTCTAGACCAAAGAAACATTATTTGTCGGAAACAAATGTATGACAGTCGACATTTAGTCAAAATCAAAATGTGGTTTGAGGAGGACGTTGCGATCGCTGCTGCTGCTGCTTGCGTAATTTTAAGTTTAAAATCAAAAAAACCAAAAAGAAGATTTTGGGTTCGTCCAAGTCTTTTAACAAGAAAACAATATAGTGGTAGTGATTTAATGATTGACGTTCAACGTGATGACATTAATCTATCTGGAGAGTTGAGGTATGCTATAGTACCGTTGTATATTTATAACCAAAACTATGTAGGTACGTAGGTATAATCGATTTTACTAAATTATTAATTTTTTAAATAGGTGTAATGGTAGTTTCAAAAATTTCCTACGTATGTCAAGTGCAGATTTTAAGTTTTTGATTAATCTTGTCGGTCACCGAATCGGTAAAAAAAACACAAATTATAGAGACGCTATACCAGTGAACGAAAGATTAGCAGTAGCACTGAGATTCTTAGCCACCGGTGATTCCTATCATAGTTTGATGTATACTTTTAAAATGTCTAAACAAAGCATCTCTCTTATTGTTCCCGAAGTTTGTGCAGCATTGATTGACGCTTTGAAGGATTATTTAAAGGCAAAAGCATAAATATATTACTAATAGTTATTTAAATAATAATAAATTACTTATATATTTATTATTTGTTTACTATATCATAACTATAATTTATAGTTAATATTTTAGAAATTCATAAACATTTTCTTTTCACCTATTTTTATAGACATTTTAATTTAAAAATAGAATGAAATTCAATATTTTAACAAACAATTTAATTATTGTTATTTTGTTGTAATTTAAAAATATTGTTTAATTATACTTGAATTTTTTTAATTATATTATACAATATACTTACAATAACATTTTTAAATGCAATATTTTTGGCAAAAATTAATTCAATCTAGGTACTGTAGATAGACAATACTAAAATAAATTATTTTTATTGCAAATAAATATATCATATAATATTTATTAATATATTATGCTGACAATCTTTTTTTAATTGTGATTTCAAAAGGAAAATATTTTTTTTCTAAACAAAATGATAAAACTATGTAGGTAAATGAAAACATAATATTAATTTTATTATAAATCAATTTCATATACTTTTATGATTAAAAAAAAAAAAACAATAGCAAAAACCTCTTTTATGTTGAAAAATAATAAAAACATATATACAGAAAATAATAACTTTTTTAAATAGAATGTAATACTTCATTGAAACTTTCTTCGTCAATGAATGATGGTGCAGGTGTTGTAGGTGTTGGTGAAGCAAGGCTTGTTATAGTTGAACTTGCTGGTGAAGAAGGAATATTAGAGCTTTGATATGGCACACTTACAGACTGACTTAGGTTGTACGGTTGTTGAAAATATTGGTACTGCTGCTGAGGGGGGAAATCATACTTCCCAGTTTATGCTTCATACAATATGTTGTTAATTAAATAGTCTACAGTACTTTTAGCATAGTTTGTACATAATTTTCTTATTTTAAAACCAACGTGTTCTCCAAATACATGATACTCATCATTGATCACTTTGTCCTTGCTTGCTTACCAAAGATTTCATCACTTCATATGCTTCTTCGGCCATTGGATTTTTTTTTCTTTTTTGATTATTTTTCTGCACTGGTAATTTTGGTGTAATAAACAATGCATCCAAAGTATTTGTTGTATTTCCAGAATTTGTGTGGCGTTCATATTGGTTTATTACATTATTTTCCTCGTTGTTAATTTCCAAAGGTTCATTTTCTTCTGCAGTACACATTTCATTATTCACTATCTGAAACAATTCGAATAAGTTAATTTTATCTGTAGTATACAAATATATTATACTAGTTGATAATTATTTGCATGTTATTAAATTTTTCCTTTTTTTCTACGTTTTTGAATGACAAAAAAATAAAAAAAATCGTTCAATAAGAAATAGTTAATTTATGGGTGAATTAACATTGATTAATGTCATCTATTCAATTTTTAAATCTTGGATTTTAAAATAAAAATTTTTATGCATTTACAGCTAAAATTTACGCCTAAAAAAATATTCCGAACATATTGTATTTTGAAATTTTTATATTTGTAAATCGGTAGATATGAACTAGTTTTTTATGATAAATGGTTAATTTAATGAACTATTAAATATTTTCAAAGTTTTTTAGTTCAATCATATTAGTTATTAGTTATATTTGTTTAAGATGCCCACAACAAAAGAAGAATGGCAATTAATTGCCAATGGAATTTTCCATTTTGCATTGGATTTATGGACAGAAAACACATAATGTTACAAGCTCCGGTTCAAACAGGATGTGAATATATTAATTACAAGGGATTTTTCAGTATTGTTTTATTTGCTGTTGTCGATGCCAATTACAATTTTATATACGTCAACGTTGGATGTCAGGGCCGTATATCAGATGGTGGCGTGTTTGCGAACACTACATTCAAACATTTTTTAGAAAAACAGAAATTAAATTTACCAGAAGACATGTGCCTGCCAGGAAGAGAAAAATGTATTTTATATTTTTTTTTTTTAATGTATTTTTTGTTGTTGCTGATGATGCTTTTCCTTTGAAAAAACATATCATGAAACCATATCCAGGCACACAAGAAAAAGGATAAAAAAAAAGAGTATTTAACTACCGCTTAAGTAGAGCCCGAAGAGTGGTTGAAAATTCATTCGGAATAATGTCTGCAATTTTTAGAGTTTTACGAAAACCTATGCTTCTAGAACCAGAAAAAGCAACAATTATAACCTTAACCTGTGTCCATTTGCATAACTTTTTGCGAAAAAGTTTTCCATCTAGAACAAGTTATACACCACCTGGTATTTTTGACATAAAAGATTTAGATGGAGGGACAATAATACCTGGCCAATGGAGACGAGATCAAAATAATTTAACACCATTAGCAAGAATTGGAAGAAAACCATCACAAGCTGCACAAGAAATTGGAGACGAGTTTTGTGATTTTTTCAAAGTACTGCTGGTAAAGTACCTTGGCAAGACAACTATTGATGTTAAAAAAATAAATAAATAAAACACAAATCAGTTAGGCTGACTCTCATTGTATCATGAGAATAATTGTAAATCAAATATTTACAAATTGTAAAGTATTGAACCATTTAAGTATTATTCATTAAAAAATTTAAATCATATTATTATATGATCTTTCAATCGTTATTATGTATATTAAATCGTAAATTTAGTATATTAATCATTATTAAGTATGTATTATAATGAAATATAAATCAGTAGGTATATAATAACTCATATGTATAATTTTAATATGGAATCATTGAAGCCAAATATTTTGACTGTAAGCATATTAGTCTTATTTTATTAAACCAATGTTATTAAGACCTATGTATTTAACCTATGTATGTGTTGATGAAAAATTAAATTGTTTAAAAATGTTATAGTAAGTAAGATTCTCATAATGTTAAAACAGTTTAATATATACACATCACTTTGTATTTAAAAAGTATTACATAATAATATAATTTATAATTTACTTACTTCAATTCCAGCATCAGACGTTACACGAGGTTTGTTTTTATCCTTTAAAAACATCAAAGAATTGAAAGCAAACCATTTTGACTCCATAACTTCGTCAGTTCCAGCACCTGACTTCGTCTTTCTGCATTCGCGATAAAATTGGCCAATAACATTTTTCATTTTTTTTTTCAATGTCTGCCTTGTCAATGTTCATTATTTTTGAAATTTCACACCACGCGTCATTTTTTTAAAACTTATTTTTATAATCTGACAGCGTTTGGTCCCATAGTACTGGTCTTTCATAGTACAAATCAATTAAGTGACACACTTTTTCTCTAGATAACTCCATGGTAGGTATTAACGAACAATAGCAAATACTTATATTATTTATACAATATTATAATATATTTTACAATATTTAAAGTGATCAGTAGTGACTAAATTGACCAACTGAACTTACTAAACACAAGATAGTACAATTTCATAAAAATATCAAAATGTTTCTGTGACAACGACGACCGGTCTGGACATGCCGATACATTGTCGATGACAATGTTTGTAAACATCCTTTGAAGTTTACCGCTACTCAGCCGATAACAAAAATTTGTCGCCGACAGGGTCCGCGACAATGTCGTCGACAATATTTTAAAAACATACTCAAAAGTTTGTCGAAAACATGTGTTTCCGACAAATGTTTCTTTGGTCTGGACGCGGTTTTATATTCAGTGTTTCTAAAGTTAGGTCAGGTTACGTTTTTTAGAATCTGAGACAGGAACTTTGTGTTTATGTCCTATTAATTCACGTATTACCTATACAATATTGTATTATTTCCCTTTGTATTTACATAATAATTTATAATAATATTAGGACATAGGTGTTTTGTACATTCAAAGCCGTGTTTTCGCAAAGTGACTAATTGATTTAAATTTTTGTAGAAAGATAAGTTTAGTGAAGTCATCTTTTAAGTAAATCACTTAATCAACATCTTTTGAAAATGGAGAACTCAATTATTGGCCAACGTTCAACTTCCAGCAGTCAAGAAACATTATTTATAATGTTTGATTAGAGATGAAATTAATTCTGTTGTCAATTTAAAGTATGTTCTTATATGAAATTAATCATCAATAGATTATGTATATCAAAACAAACATTCTTAACTTTTCATTTTAATATTGCAAGTATTCATTTTAATAGGTTCAACTTCTACCTATACTGTTTATTT